TCGGGTGGTGGTTTTTTTAGATTTTCGTTTTTTACAAAATCGGGGGGGGGGCTGGCATGCTGCAAAGCGAAGAACTAACTTCTAACATCCCCTCTTGCTGACAAGAAGGCCTTTGCGCTCACGGGAATTCCTAGGAGATAAAGTTGATGGGTGGCTTCCATTCCACATGCCGAGAAAAAGGCTCACGGAAAGCTGGGGCAGAAGGGGAACAACTGGGAAGTTTGCTTTCTGCTTGTTCAATATTGGCGGCCACGGCCATGGTAGCAGCCCTTTTCAAACTAAGCCAAGGCCCTCTCCCAAGGGAAACCACTTTGAAAAGGTCTTATAATCTGATTTCTACGTTCTAAAGGGACTCATTAGCTTCCAAATTCCCAAAGAGGGCTGGAAAAGATTTTAAAGCAGCTAGCACCATCGCTAGCCAAGACAGGCCGCCTCTCACAGGTAAGTGAATGGATCTTCTTGCCTACCACAAGGGTTGGACCACTAGATCATCCTTGTGGGTCCTCTCAACTGGACCACTCTAGGATTCCATGAAATGACCCACGTGCTGGGCACAGCGTCCTATGCGTTTGGAATAAAATGGGCAGAAAATAGCGTTCTGTAACTGGCACACACAGCTCTCCCAAATGACCATCCCAAAGACCCTGTGTGACTTAAAACTACACCTTCTGAGGCCAGGCATCACCTTGTCCGCTCAGCTTTTTCAGCTCGACTCAGAGCAGCAAACCTAGCTCAAAAGCAACAAAGGTTAATTTCCAGGCGTGGTCCCACCAGCCAAGGGAGACAAGATTAGCCTGTCTCCATCTCTCAAGCCCTAAGCCTTTCTTCCTCCTTTTTTTTTTTCTCAATAGTTAATCAGTTGGCTGGGAAATTAATGGCTGGAAGCAATCTGCCCCTGTTTAGACAACATTACAATTCTTTCATCAGCCGCATTTCTTATCTCGGGGGCTATCGAAGGCTTCAGCCGGCGGGAGGGGGTGTTAGGATTTAAGAAGCACAGTTCGAGAAGAGCACTTTGAGGCACCCCACACATGGGAGGGCAGAGTTGACGTTTCAGATCAATCTAAGAGCAGCCCCAAATGTACAACTCTTTCGTGCCTGTTCTTTGTCATGCTTAAACGGATTTTCCAATGGATCCTTACAACAGCCCTGTGAGGTAGGCTGGTGGGTGATGCTGAAGCAGTACTGCGTGCGGTGCAATGTCTTGAGAAAGGCAATTCACGGAGGAGATGCAACCGAGGAAAGGCTCCAGTCAGAGGGAGGAAATGAAACCCAGAATTTTCCCAGCTCCTCTTCCACTAGGAATTTTGCCTGTCTTGCTGGGTTCATGCAGCCCCTGAAGCCAAAACTAAAAAAATCACATTACTGTGTGGTTCGGCTCCATAGGTGAATCCAACCAGGGAACACTTTCGTGCTGGAACCAGTTCTGCCACAGCTACGCTCAGCGCAAGTATGTCCTTCTAAACGAGGAGACAAGAGGACGGAAAGGGGCGAGTTGTACCCCCCATGAAATTCTATGCAACACGAATTCCCCTGGCATGAGGAATAAAATAAATACAGGATCACAAAACGCGTTTCAAGATCAGACATGAATCGCTAGAGAGCTGCATTGTGAAGGGATCTGTTGTGGCATTCAGCCGTGAAGTTAACAGTAAAAGAGATTTGCCAAATACAGCCCAGAAAAGATTAAACGTTCCAGTACGTATTGCGGTATAAAGGAAGGCATTCCCCGGCCAACAGGATTCCCACGTTGCACCCAGCCTTCATATGTCTTGACTGATTTAGGCTGGTTTATAAGCCATGGTTTAGAGCTGGAACTGGATGGGATATGCAACCCATCCAATTACAGTTTAACCAGATCTCGGTTAACAGATCAGTCGCTTCATCTTTTCTCAGGATAAATTTTTCTCCCGCACGGACAAGCAGGACCGGAGAGGTCTTCTAGGGAATACTGCCTCGACCGATGTTGCAACGGAAGATTGAAAAATGCCAGCCAATAATGGAAAGTTGGCCCTTCCGTTTGGTTTGTTCTACAATCAGCAAGGTTTAGCAGAGGGAGAAAAAAAATCTATAGCTAGAAGAGTCAAACAATAGACAGCAACTCTTTTCAACTAGAGATCCTGTTCCAAGGGGTGGGTTTGAAACTTTTCCAACCAGAATGTGTAAAAGGAGTTTGTTATAGTACAGATGTTTGAGGTTGGATTCCCTCAGCAGCAATTTTTCAAAGACTCTTCAAGCAATGGTCTCTCTTTACTTGCTGTCTAAAAATACATAATTATGCACTAGGACATTTAAACCCAAGGAGAAGCACATGTCCTTGTCTTAAAAATGGAATTCTGCTCGAACGTTTTTTAAAAAAAGTGTTTAAAAGTACCTATAATCAAATAGGCATTCATGAGTGCAAACCAATCTTAGATTTGGTCGGCACTGAAGATTTGTGGGGAGTCAGCAGTGCGTTTGAAGAGACAGAACATCACGGCAACGTTAAACAGAAAAGATGGTTAATTCAGCAATTCAGTGTAACCAAAGTGGCACAAAATCAGTGAACATGCCACCAATAGTGAGCTCTGCCACTGAATGCCTGCTGAATTCCCTTAAACACTCACATTTGGGAATACTGTAATTCACAAATGATCTACCGGGAAAAATTCTGGATCAAATGCTCTAGCTGAGTCCGGAGCACCTTCACGGAGCTGCCTATTCTCTCTGTATGATTTACTGTTCTCCTTCTTTTCTTAACCACCCCCCTTTGGCTCATTTTGCCCCACCTCATCCCTGCAGCAAATCCCAGGAAATTGCTTAGTTTCTTTCTGTAGGGCTTGAGAATTCTTCCCACAGAGGAGTCTCTCCCCTGTGCCTCTGCATGAGTCTCTCCTTCACCCTACTCTTCTAGGGACAGCAATTCCTGTTGAAGAGGGTAGGTTCCTCCAAGAATATCAAATGCTTCCTCTTCCATAATATCATATTCAAGAAGGTCTGTTATGCAACGACAGGGAATAAACTTTAGATGCCAGAGGTAAATAACTTCCAGAGATTATGGAAAGAGCTCGCCTTGCATGCAGAGATCCCCCAGTTGACTCAAAAACCAGATTGCACGGGATTCTAAATTGTGCAAGAAACAACTGAATTGGTGTACGTGTGAAGGTTCCCCCTTCAAAGCATGGAGGGGATAACGCTGTGCCTAGAGACACACAGCAGGGGAGCCCTCTCTCTCTTTAATCATGTGAGTTCCCTGAACAATCTAAAGGGATGGCTATGGGAAAAATTACAGAAAGAAAACTACATTTAATTATTTGATAGAGGTGACCAGAAGCCTCATGCAGGTGAACAAACCAACTTGCCAGGTATCTGTGTTAGAGGGAAAACAGTCGTCCCTTTCTGCAGGGAGCGAAGTAGCAACTGGGACTCAGAGAGAAGAGACAGATCCACCCTAAAACATACGTTCTTCCACTAGCAAAGTCAGGCTAGAAACTTATTCTGGTCTTCTGTGCAACAGTGTCAGGCAAGATACTTCTAGCTCTCAAATCCCAGCTCCTAGGCTTTGATTCACATTTTTTTTTCTCCCAGGAAAGATCCTACTTAAGACTTACAGCTTCTTCTAGCATCACCCAGCCCCATTCTCATGACTGCTATTTCAGCACAAGGATGGTTAAGATTACTCTAGAAGACGCTGCTAAACAGATACTCTGCCGCTAATTGGGGACTACTTAGAAATAAAGAGTCATTTTATTTCCACTGTCCTGACATGCCACTGGACTCCCTCAGCCATGCCTGGTTTATAAGTCAGCCTGCAAACCTGGTTTACTAAAAACAGAGTTAAAACATGGTTTAGTGTAATGTGTAAACCAAGACTTGGTTGCCATCCTCAGCCTGGAAGTTTTGCTTTATTTCATTAGCCTTATTCTCAGGCAGATTATACATTATGTTATGGGGGGGGGGGAGTTTATCCATCAATTTCTATCAGCTTCTACCCCCAGAAGCTGATCGGAGGATTCACAATCTGACTCAACTGCTCTAGAGTAAAGAAAGGGGATCAAGTGGCTGGTTTTCCAACAGGGCCCTTGTCTTGCTTTTTTGCAGCTGTGAGTTTAAAAGGAAACTTTTTTAAAAAGTCCCTAGGATGTACCTTGAAAAAAAGGGGGGAATTTTTCTCCCAAACGTTTCCTTGAAAATGTCCT